CGATATTCAATATATTTCTGAATGCTCACATAGTCACATAATCTTTAATAATTGTAATCAGTGGGACATTGATTCTCTAACCACTTCTTCGGCGATGAATTTTTCTTAGACTAAACGAGTAACTAGTTAATAGTAAAATTTAGAGTAATTGGCTGCACTGCACCCATGGCCATCATGAGTCACCTAAATTACATAAAATTGAATGTATCTCTCTTTCTTCATCTTCTTCAACGCTTCATTCCACACTCGTAGATTTTCTTGACTCTTGTATCAATTCAGATTAAGAAAAAGGTACATTTCTTTGGTAGATGTTATGACTGCTCATAAATTTATAAAAACGAACAGAAATAGTTTAAAAAAAAAAAAAGAAATATTATAATCTAAGTGAAAACATGATTGAAAACAAATGATAGTATGTTACACAATTTCTCGTTCATATATTATCTTTTTAAAACAAACCAAAAACTTGCACAGTAGTTTAATGAATAATCACTAATAAATTCATATACTATTATTATATACTCCCTTTTTATAGACCACAAAAATGCTATGATTCATGATTCATTCTAGAACGTGATTGTGATATGTGACAATGAGCGAGTCATACTAGTCAACTACTCGAAACTTGTGTATCAAACATGAGGACGAGAGATCGTCTGGTGGAGGGAAAATAACTAAATTATTGACAATTTGGTCCTCTAGGGACACTCACATCAAAACAATAGGTCAATATTTTTCCACGTGTACAACCAGTTTAATGACAATTTCATAATATCCATTTGCTTTAAATAACAATCATTCCTATATAAACCTAAATCTTGAACACAAGAGAGACAAAGAAAGAGTAAAGATGTGTAGAGGGTTTGAGAAAGAAGAAGAGAGAAGAAGCGACAATGGAGGATGCCAAAGACTATGCACGGAGAGTCACAAAGCTCCGGTAAGTTGTGAGCTTTGCGGCGAGAACGCCACCGTGTATTGTGAGGCAGACGCAGCTTTCCTTTGTAGGAAATGCGATCGATGGGTCCATTCTGCTAATTTTCTAGCTCGGAGACATCTCCGGCGCGTGATCTGCACGACCTGTCGGAAGCTAACTCGTCGATGTCTTGTCGGTGATAATTTTAATGTTGTTTTACCGGAGATAAAGATGATAGCAAGGATTGAAGAACATAGTAGTGATCACAAAATTCCCTTTGTGTTTCTCTGATTTTATGTTTTGTTTTTCGCGTAATTAAGATTAAATATTGGTAGGGTTTTTTCTCTGGAAATGTTCTAAGAATGTATATTTTCATTCTAAAGCTTAAAAGTAATATATGAACACCTAGAAAACATATTGATTTAATAGTAAAATAATGCGGTCCCAATAGTAAGCTATAAGAAATCAAGAACAAATCTTCCTATGGCAAACATAATCTGCCTTTATTCTTTGGCTTTATTTTTCTTAACTAGGAAAACAATACAACGTTACAAATTACAATCAAGTGAAATGGAAAGGTGGAGAGTGGTCCAAAACACAAAGAAGATATATTTTTCTATGATTAACATGTAATTGAGATTAAGGAGCTATAAGTAGGAAAGAGTCAACGACTCTTGTTTTGTTTTTTGGTTTCTGATTTTGTCTGAGCGTCTCGTAGCTGTATGCCTAATTAATGCCTGTATGACCGGTAGGTTTTGTGGTTGCATCAAAAAACAGTGGAAATTCTCTAGTAAAAAGAGCAACTTTCAGTTTTTTTTTTTTTAATCTCCATTTTGGAATCACCTTTGCGATGATTTTAAGTCTTTGTAGTTTGATCTTGTATACTTTCTCAAGAAGAGAATTTTATGTTGTTTTTTTTGTTACTTCTCCGACAAGAAACTGTTAATCCCGTGGATGGAGTCAGATTATTCTTTAGTTCCGCAGTGAAGATTCACTAGTTCACATCACCAGTGACGGATCATACTCAAAAGTTTCTCCAGATTTTACAAATCTCCCTTTGACCCGTTTTCTCGTATCAGCTCTGGCTTTGCGTGATGCATATCTTATTTGCTTCCCAAACCTAGAAGAAATTGGTACCACAAATATCAATGAGATTATGTTTTAAAAGCATGATAATGACTCTGATTATGTGTCTCAAAAACTTACATGCGCTTTGATTTCTTTTGTTTGTATCTCTTTTTAGCCTCATCCCTTAATTTTGGATTAAAACTAACTTCAACGTTCGATTCCCATGGCGAATCTCCTATGAGAAACCCTGGTGAAATTCCGCAATCTTGGTAATCAGTCGCATTGCTTTCTCCTGTGAGGTTAGACATCGAAAGTGACATGTTCGGAACAACATTCCCCGATATAGTAGGAAGCAGTAATGAAGGAAGGCCAATGTTATTCTCTTCCTTAAAAGAATCCTCGTACTCGTAACATTTGGTATTGTCAAGTGATGAACATCCGATTATATCATTGCTTGCGTTGAAATTCAACGGCGCATCATCTAAGTTTATCCCTTCGCATAGATCCAAACCAGAACATTCCTGCATATAGAACGGAATATAAATGAAAAACATTGTTCTTTATCATAAATGAATCATTTTGATATATTACTTAAACAACACGTCACCTCTTCTATCACTTTCGGAAGATTAGATTCCATAGGAAAGAAAGAAGAATAGTCTTTAAGGTTCTGAGTTTGTGTAACCACGGAAGTTGATGAACCATTCCAATCGTCTAATTCCTGGAGCAGGGTATCAGAAAATGGAGAATCCAAATTTGTGACAGAAGGTTCTAAAGTTGAAGACCAGATCTTGCCGAAATCTGATGGAGAAGGACAATCACAGTAAGGGTTCAGACTCTGAAGTCTGTGTCCTAAAGCAGTGCAGTTACTAGCGGTCCACTGACATCCTTGGCAAAGAGAAACATTTTCGTTCATACAGTGTATTGCCGTGGGTTGCAAGGAACATTTCTCGCAGAGTAAAGATCGCGTGTGTCTTTGAGACAGAGGATTCGCTGAGTGTACATTAACGTCACAGTTTAAACAAAGTTTAGCCGAATCAGATTTGCAGTAGATTAATGCTTTTTCGGTTCCACAAAAGTCACATCGAGCCTCCATACTTCTTCGAAGACAAAACTCCAAAGAAATAACGATTTCTCAATCCCAATCGCTACACACACCTAAAATCCTGTAGCATAGAAGGATCGTGAGACAAAAACAGAACATTCAGAGATCAAACAAAATTACGATTCATTATAGGTTCATGTATCTTTTTAATGTGTGATTGTGACTAATACATGGTTGTGTGTGAATGTTAGAGAAACACTCACAAACTAAGAAAATGTGGATTCTCGAGACCGAATCAGTACTAAAATCACAATGTCTAGAAACTCATAACCAGTTAATTACAGAGTTTTTTCTAAACAAGAGTATAACAATAATCGTGTAAAATTGTTTATGTTTCAGGGTTCCAGAGATTAGAAGCTTTACAAGGGTGTGTGAGAGTCCAGTGAGAAGGAGATGAGAAAGAACAGAGAAGGGTTTTGCTCTGTTTTTATCCTGTGTGGGGTCCACCTTGTTAAGCGGGTTTGCCACGCGGGGTATCTTTTGTCACGTGTGGTTTTATTGTTCCTTAGATTTTGTTGATGTCATAATGTGGTTGACCATACAATTCGGAGTTTTTGTTTGATTCTTTAGGTACTTTCTGTGGCTCGCAAGAATTTCGAGAATTGTTAATAAAAAAACGTGTAAATGTCATTAATTTTGAACACGTTTTTCTTGTTATTCAAAACATCCGAGTAATAAGACTAGTTCGAAGCAATTTATTCCGAGTGTTGGTTTAATGGATCTAGGAGTTTGCAGCATACTAGTCCGGTTTCATTAACCGGTGGCTATGGATAGTTATTGTATCTATTTCTCACTAATTTTACTAAGTGTGTTTTCACAACTTAAAATATGAGATGTTAGAAGCACTTAAATGATTGAAATTCTAGTGAGCGATCATGTTTTAAGAGAGAAAAATTTGTAACAACGATTGATATTCGTTTACGATTTTTTACCAGCCTCAGTAAAAAGGCTAAATGTACTATTTTTGAAACATCTCACAATGCATTCCATACCAAAAAAGGCTAAATGTACTTGTAAGCAATTCAACAGAAGGTAACTGCTGCTGTGCTGCATTAGCTGACAAGATCGTTCATGGCATGACCAGTCTGGTTGTCATTGTTTGTTTGCCAAAAGTTTTCATTAGATGTCCAAAAAACAGCTAATTCGACCAAACATTTGTTTCCTGATAAGTCAATTGTTTTGTTAATCAATTTCATGGTTATGCTAAATTCATTATATGTCCAAAAATCAGCCCATAGTTTTCAATTGTTTTCAGAGGATAAGGAGACAACATTTAAACACAGCAACTGTTTTCATAATGTCCTTCCACCAACTGAAAATCAAAGAATAACTAGGTAATCTCTTCCGGTATTAAAAAAGAGGAAAAACAAAACCAATTGTTGTAATGTGCGAGGCATTTCCAGGATCAAAAGGCATAGAAAAAAGGCAAGAAGATCAGGATATACCACAACTAATATAGCGTCACAAGCCATTATACCTGATGGAACTGTTTTCATCCCTCAGAATTGGTAATGGACGCCAATACAAAAACAAAAAACACTAAAACTCTTTCTTCAATAGGGCAAAGTTTTGATAAAAAATGCTCAGTGGAAGGAGAAGTCGTTTTAAAGGAGAGCTCACGGTAAACCCACTGCTCTTCTCACACTCTTCGTGCTTTTATCTCATCATTGCATCATCATCATCAAACCCATAACAGTAATCCAACAAAACAAAACAAAAAACATTGAAAGAACAAATAAGCTTCAGTGTGTGTAACAAATTCAGTTCATTGATTCAAAAACCTCACTGAAATCCGCTAAGATAATTGTTTTTATCATCATCAGCTTTATAACCCAAAACAAGTACATACAAACATCAATCAAACCTATTAACAATAATCCAACTAAACAAAAGCCAAACATTAAAAAAAAATAAAAGCCTCAGTGTGTGTAACAAATTCAGATCATTGATTGAAAAACCTCACTGAAATCCGCTAAGATAATTGTTTTCTATCATCATAAGCTTATAAGTGGAAAAACATCAACCAACACAAAAAAACAATAACAGAGAAATTTGTCTTCAAACCAATCAAAAGATAAGATTTTGGGTGAAAGGGGAATTAATACTCAGACAGCCAAGGGTTAATCTTCAACTTCTGGGAGAAGAATCCCAGATCTGAAACTCTAGTCCACAATACTCTTGTATCATCACCATATTCAACCCCTTCCACATCCCATAAAACTAAGACATCACAAATCTCTTTCCCAAAAACCTTAAATATCACCAATTTCAACATATATACACAAACGAAAATAGTCACAGACCTAACCCTAAAATCACCTAACATATCATTCAGACATGAAAAGGAAGAGAGTTCCTATGATTTGCATTAGACGAAACCTTATAAATACACAGACACAGCAGACAATTAGGGTTTACTTCGGTCGGCGGCTACCATATCTATTTTAGGTTCTCGGCCCAATTATACTAAATGGGCCAGCTTTCGTGACCCAACAAACAACTTACATTTATTTTACTTTATTAACACATTCACTTTACAAACCCAATCAACGAAAAGTCCAAAAACGTAAAAACAGAAATGAAGAAGATTGAGCTCGTGTTCATACCTTCGCCGGGAATCGGCCATCTCCGGCCAACCGTGAAGCTAGCAAAGCAACTCATCGGAAGCGAAGAACATCTTTCAATCACCGTAATCATCATCCCTTCTAGAAACGACGCCGGTGATGCAACCGCCTATATCGCATCCCTCGTTGCAGAGTCTCAAGATCGCCTCCGCTACGAACCCATCTCCGTCGAAAAACAACCACCAACCGCAAATTTTGAGCCGTCTCAAGTCTACATCGAGAAACAAAAACCACAAGTGAGAGACACCGTCTCCAGAATCATCAATCCAACAAGAAAACTCGCCGGATTCGTGGTGGACATGTTCTGTTCTTCAATGATCGATATAGCTAACGAATTTGGAGTTCCTTGTTATATGATCTACACATCAAACGCTACGTTTTTGGGAATCACACTTCACGTTCAAGAAATGTACGACGACAAAAAGTATGACGTCAGGAGTTTCCTTGTTTGACTCGTCCTTATCCAGTGAAGTGCCTTCCTCATATCCTTAGTTCAAAAGATTGGTTACCTTTTTTTGCAGCTCAAGGTAGGTCTTTCCGGAAGATGAAAGGTATTTTGGTAAATACAGTTGCTGAGCTTGAGCCTCACGCTTTGAAGATGTTTAACAATGTTGATCTTCCTCAAGCTTATCCTGTTGGACCAGTGTTGCATCTTGATAACGGCGATGACGACGATGAAAAGAGATTGGAGGTTTTGCGGTGGCTTGATGATCAACCGCCTAAATCTGTTTTGTTTCTCTGTTTTGGAAGTATGGGAGGTTTCACTGAGGAACAAACTAGAGAGGTAGCTGTGGCGTTAAACCGAAGTGGTCACCGGTTTCTTTGGTCTCTCCGTCGTGCATCGCCGAATATAATGATGGAACGTCCCGGAGATTATAAGAATCTTGAGGAGGTTTTACCGGACGGGTTCTTGGAACGGACTTTGGATAGAGGGAAAGTGATTGGATGGGCTCCACAAGTGGCGGTGTTAGAGAAGCCGGCGATAGGAGGGTTTGTTACTCATTGTGGGTGGAACTCTATGTTAGAGAGCTTGTGGTTTGGTGTTCCGATGGTGACGTGGCCGCTTTACGCGGAGCAGAAGGTTAACGCGTTTGAGATGGTGGAGGAGCTGGGATTGGCGGTGGAGATACGTAAGTGCATTAGTGGAGATTTGTTGTTGATCGGAGAGATGGAGATAGTGACGGCGGAGGATATAGAGAGAGCTATAAGGTGTGTGATGGAGCAGGATAGTGATGTAAGGAGTCGAGTGAAGGAGATGGCGGAGAAGTGTCACGTGGCGTTGATGGACGGTGGATCTTCCAAGACGGCTTTGCAAAAGTTTATTCAAGACGTGATAGAGAATGTTGCTTAAATTGGATAGAGAGACTCGCATGGAATTCCAGACTCGCATGTTGAGAGTTCACTATGAGATCGATGACTCAGGTCCATGTGTTATTATGTATGTTATGTCGTTTTCGTTTTTCTTTTTTTGTTGGAATTTGTATACGTTGTGTACTTGTGTTTGTGTGTCTTTTTAAAATGTTTACGTAATAAAATGTGATACAGAAATTTTGTTTCACAAAAAACATCGGATTCTCAGCACAAAAAAAGAAACATCAGATTCTTTTATTCAAATTCATTTGGTTATAAAATTTGACTATATAATTCGTTAGTTTATTAATATTTATCAAACAAAAAAAGATTAATCATTAGAGCACCCACATTCCTCATTTTTTTGGATGTCTTTAAATATAAACCTAGTAACAAAATATAAAACAAATGAAGAGTGTCTTTTATTTTTAATTTGTGTCTCTAGAAAGACATTTGAGACACCAAAAAGAGGAGATGTCTTTGATTTTATTATTAATCTATACTAAAGACACATATCAAAAGACACATTTAGAATTAGGATGATGGATTTGACTTTGCTAATCTTTATTGTGAATTGCTATTACTAATGTGAATAGGGATAATAATTGTTATAATTTTAAGAACCAAACCCATATGGCTATAGTAGAGTAAAAGCATTATTATTGGTTGTCTCTTATATTAGTTCTTAGGATAAGAACATCTCATTTTAACTCTTATATAAGAGACAAAATGATAAAAATGTCTCTTATATAAGAGTTAAAACGAGTATAAGAGACAAAATGACAAAATATCTCTTATATAAGAATTAAAATGATAAAATAACTACTTTTCAGTAGATTGGTAAACTGGTAAAAAAAAATAAAAAAAATCAATAGATGGTTAGTCATGGTCCATTAATTCAGATCAATAGGAGTATAAATTCGTCAAACTCTGTTCATACCAAAACCAGAATTGCATATAGAGTTCAACAACATAAGCTTGATGGTTGCTGTGTTTCAAATCATTCAAAACAATTTAAATTTGTTCCCAAATCATTCACAGTTTATGTTTTCTAGCTCAAATTTAAATTGTTTTTGAGCAATAATTTGAAGCTGAGGGTTGACTATATAAGATATCGGTGACTCAGTTACCAAGTGTTTATGTAGTTACATTTGTAGAATTTGGCACATCAAAAGGTTTATTCTGTATCTGCTACTAGTTCTATTCTATATTCCGTTGTGTGGACGGATGACAAACTTTTGTACTACAAAAAAGAAAACATTTTTCTATTTTAAGTATTTGTTATGGTTTCTACCATTGTTAACAAATTCTATTGATATTTAACACAAAAAAAAAAAAAAAAAAAACTCTATTGATACAAGATTTTATTTTTGGTTACATGTGTTTGTTAGACGCACCACACCATCGTACTTATTATCACTTTATGACACAAATTCAAGAAACGCGACATACATTACATCAACTAAAGAACTTACACATAGACATAGTTTGACCCCAAGAAAAACACACATACACCTATCGTAGTATTATGGGACAAATTCATGAAATTTTGTGACATGACATACATAAACAGTCACTCGTATCTCAGAGTCAACCTGTGATTTTCCATCTTCCTACCATCAGACAACATTCTCTGTCACGTCTTGAATAAACTTTTGCAAAGCCACCTGCGAGGATCCACCGTCCATCGACGCCACGTGACACTTCTCAGCCATCTCCTTCACTCTATTCCTAACCTCACTATCATTCTCCATCACACACCTGACCGCTCTCTCTATATCCACCGTCGTGACTATCTCCATCCCTCCGACCAACATATCTCCTCTAAAGAACTTCCGTATCTGAACCGCCAATCCCAACTCCTCCACCATCGCAAAGGCGTTTATCTTCTGCTCTGCGTAAAGCGGCCACGTCACCATTGGAACACCGAACCACAAGCTCTCTAGCATCGAGTTCCAACCGCAGTGAGTGACAAACCCTCCTATCGCCGGCTTCTCTAGCACTGCCACTTGTGGTGCCCATCCGATTACCTTCCCTCTATCTAATGTCCGGTCTAGGAATCCTTCCGGTAGAACCTCCTCTAAATTGGTATAATCTCCGGGACGCTCTGTCAATATATTCTGCGGTGCACGACGGAGAGACCAAAGAAACCGGTGCCCGCTTCGATCTAACGATACAGCTATCTCTCTAGTTTGTTCCTCATTGAAACCTCCCATACTTCCAAAGCAAAGAAACACAACAGATTTAGGTGGTTGCTCATTGAGCCACCGCAAAACCTCCAATTGTTTGCCATCATCGTCAGAACTGTTTTCGAGATGCAACACTGGTCCAACCGGATAAGCTTGAGGAAGATCGTCACCACTGTTAAACATTTTCAAAGCATGAGGTTCAAGCTCAGCAACTGTATTTACCAAAATACCTTTCATCTTTCGAAAACATCTAGCTTGAGCTAGAAAGAAAGGTAACCAATCCTTGGAAGTGAAGAAATCAGGAAGACATTTCACAGGGTAAGGACGAGTCAAACATGGAAACTCCAACTCGTTGACCGAGTCTTCCAACTCGCTTACGTCATACTTCTTCTCGTCGAACATTCGTTGAATATGAAGTGTGATTCCCAAAAACGTAGCGTTTGATGTATATACCATATAACACGGAACTCCAAATTCGTTAGCTACATCGATCATCGAGGAACAGAACATGTCCACCACGAATCCGGCTAGTCGCGGCGAGTCAACTTCTGTTGAATATTGGAAGATTCTCGCGACAACATCTCTCACTTGCGGCTTTTGTTTCTCGATGTAGACTTGAGTTGGCTCTTGATTGTCGGTTGGTTGATTTGCGACGGAGATGGCTTCGTAGTTGAGACGATCTTGAGATGCGGTCGTGAGAGATGCTATATAGGTGGTTTCAACGTCGTCGTGGCTAATGGAAGGGTAAGGGATGATGATTACGGTGATCGAAAGACAGTCATCGCTGCGGACGAGTCGCTTTGCTAACTCGACGGTTGACCTGAGATGACCTATTCCAGGC